ATTTCGTATTTTACTAGTAAAAGAGCACGACTTTTTTATTTGTGAAGTTTGTTAACCTTTGGTCAGATTTTAATAGCGGTTTGGTGAAGTTTATCGTCTCTGATTTCACCAGCATGCTTTTTTTTTCTTTCGCATGTTCTAATTTTCAGTCTTATGCCCATTTGACCTATACAACACCGATCATATCGTAATGAAGCAGTCTTAGAAACAAAAGGACCTTTGACTTACGTAATGCAGTCATTTCTCAGTATTATGCCCTGCAAGTTGCATGTTTGACTGTGGAATGTAGTGTATGGGCGTGTTTTGCCCAGTGGCGTCGTTATCCACAATTTGACAAATGGATATGCCCACAGAGAGGAGCTTGGGCCGTGCCACGCGTGGTATTCCGAATTTACAGTCGTACACGAAGTAATAACGCACCTGTCGCATAGCTGCCAGTATGCCCGCCGTAACAAGTGTAAGTGTAGCGTGGAAATGCCCTACCCTACCCTCGCGTCGCTTCATGTATTTCATTTTGGAAGAAGGGGGTGTCTTAAAAGTGTCATAAGGAAATTACATTTTATTACACGCACAGATCGCTGTGTGCTAGCGAGTCTTACCTGCAGTTCCCATGGCCTCCTGCGTCCACTCGCAATTGTTATGAGTAATATGAGTTTTCTTTTTTGAAAGCTTTTCCCCTATGTTGAAACTAGATACTTTCTTGGTAGGCAGGCCCACTGACTTGATGTTCTTGTATAACTGAGTGTTTTCGGCTGGTGGCTTGGTCTGCTGCCGCCTCCTAACACTGGTTGCTCGCTCGAGGATTTTTCTGCCCTGAGGATGGAGGCGATGCGTTCCTCCGGGGCGTCTGTTCGCATAGGTTCTGCGCGGCGCCGCATCCCAGAGGACGGCATTTTTCATAACCGGGATAGCATAGTCAGTATAGTGACTGGCTACGGGCTGGACAACCGAGGGGTTGGAGTTCGAGTCCTGGTAGGGTCAAGAATTTTCTCTTCTTCACGTTGTCCATCCCGGCTTTGGGGTCCACCCAACTTCTATCCAATGGGTACCGGGGGCTCTTTCCCCGTGGATAAAGCGGCAGGGTCGTGAAGTTGACCACTCACCTTCAGTTAGTGCCGAGGTCAAGAAAATGTGGAGCTATACATTCACTCCACCATACGCCTTCATGGCGTAGTGCTTAATTAGTTAAGCACAGGGACATTAACTATTTTTTAACTTTCCCCCTGTGTTGAATTTTCTTGTGTAAGTTCGTTGACAATTTTTACCTGGGTAATTTGGCGTTGTGCTGCATTGTTGCAGCCCTTCGCCGTTGTTTCTTGATGAAAAAATACCACCACAACAGACGGCAGAGTTCTTCAGACAGCGGTGGGTGAACGTCCAGTGAGCATGTACTCTTTTAGTAAGATGCTGTTACTTAAGATAATCACAATTTTCTCACCCCTTTGCTTTAAAATATATGTTGATAGCAATTTTCTTGACAAGATTTGTTTAACACACAAAAATTTGTATGTTTTATTTGGCCATAAACACGTTTCTAACTTTTACATACGACCGCGGTTAATTGGTTAATTTTTGCTTGGGAACCACTGGATTATTCTTCTTACAGAGTCCTTGGTCCCGTGTCAGAACACTGAACTTTGTCAGAGAAAAAGAATACTCATGCCTATCCATGCATTTCTGAGTTGGTGGGCATGTATCATGTTTATACCTGGAGAAATAGTCTTGACTCTATCACCGCTGTGCTGTTGCAAACACGATGGGTGGGGCGGGGCCAGGACAGTGGCCACCGGCTTGCAGCAGTGCAGCCATTCATGAGAAGCCAGTATTCGCGCAGATGGTCAAGAAATTTGTCGCTGTATATAGAGCCGATAGAATAATTGAAATTGGAAGGTGCTATGGCATGGAAATGAATGTGGAGAAAACAAAAGTAATGAAAATTTCGAGACAACCAACCCCAGTCACAATAAAGATAGACCAAAAACAACTGGAGAATGTGAAATGTTTTAAATATTTGGGTAGCTTGTTAACAGATGATGGAA